GCTTGGCTTTAGCTTCCTTTTCTTGCGCTTTAATATTTTCTTCAAAATCTTTAGATTGAGCGCTTACGTTTGATAATTCTTCTCTTGTTATTGTTAAATCAAGGTTTAAGTTTTGAATTTCTTGCTTTCGGTTATCTAATTCTGCTAATATTTCAGTAAGTTTTCGTCCTGCTAATAATTCTTTTAAATTATCTAAATCCTTACTGCCGATTTCATTCAATAAAAAGGATAGCAGCAATTGATTTTCATCGTCGGCTTTCTTTTTGCTTTTTTCTAAGTTTTTAATCTTTTTATTCAAGTCTTTCAAATCTTTTTCTAAGTTATGTTTTAAAACCATTTTATGATTAATTTTTTTGAATTGTTGAAATATTAACAGTTAACGGTATATAAATAAATTTCAGCCTTCGAATATCATTTCCTTTTTTAATTAAGCAAAAAGTGATCCATTTCTATATAAGGTTAATGTCGAACATCTTATTTTAAACTTCTGTCCATGACGGCGTTCCATGTTAAATTATTTGTATTTATAGGTAATAATTCTCAAAACAGTAAATATTTTATTATCATTAATGAAATAAGGAAAGTTCCAATTTTTTTGTTAATTCGAACGATGCTGCTTAGAAAATAATGTTATATTAAATATAATTTTGCCCGAAAACTTCATAATTTTGAATGTAAATCGCTTTCGATATTTGCAGTTAATCGTTTGAAGACCATTTGCCACTGTATGACAAATGTCAGGATGCCAGGCTGGTCTAATAATTATTTTTTTTTTTTTATAAATACAAGCCGGAAATCCTTAAACAACTTAACATTCCACTCTCGCCCTTCTTGTATTTTGCATACATACACTTTGAAAACCTTCCTTAACCCTTCGCGATATAATAATAGGACTTTTTTTTTTCTTCCAAAAGCTTCGAACAGAGATGGATGGTGGATCATTGAATTATTCTAAAAAAAAAATTAGATAGTTTATTTATTTAATTCGGTAGCTGTTCTAACTATCACTATCACTTATCTTTAACAAGTAGAATTCAATTATCGACTGTATTCAAAGAAGAATTCCGACCAAAAATTTCTCAGCAAATGTTTATTGCAATAAGAGCAAATATTATCCAAACCATTTAGTTAGTTGAATTCAGATTCTAACAGAACTTGATTTTCATCGTCGTGTATATTAACATCCATTTATTTATTTATTTATTTTTTAAAGAAAATGTTTTTTTTTTAAATAAAGGAACTAGGATGTAAATCCATCGAACAGCATCGATTTATAATAATATAAATAAATGAACTCAGGTAAATGAGAGCTACAAAGAACGTAATAAAAATCAATCGATCACCGCGGTTCGAGACTCTGAAAAAATCCAACACCTGATTGATGTCTAAGCTAAAAGCAAGTAACCCATACTTTTTTTTTTTTAACAAATACATGACGTCAAGAAAGAAAGCTGCCAAATCTTTGTGGTAAGGAATAAAATTCGGTCAACTAATCATTTTTGTTACAGATTAAAGCAATAAAATTGCTTCTTTATGAAGTTGTTGAGGACCTACCGGGATGGGATAGATAAATACCCCAGGAGACCCTAATCAATTATGTCAGTCTATACATAGCTGAAATAAATTTTAAGATATAAGAGGGGTTTCTTTATTTATATCATACATTGGGCGTCGTCTGTGAACCAGATTTAGAAAATACAAGAATAAAGTTAAAATAACGTAGGTTTGCATTTTTATAATTCAACTTGGTTAGCAACATTTTTTTTAGGACCGAAGAGCAAGAAGAACTTGCCACTCTTATCGTAATTGATGAGAATGAATTAGGCTTCGAGACACTTCATAATTTAATAAAATTGTTGATTTTGTATCTAAATACAGGGGGTGACAAAATATTGCACGATCGAAAATGAGATATTGAGTAAATTTTTAATAAGTAACTGAGCTATATTATTTTTAATAACATATTAGCTATCTATTACCTAATGAAACATTTTGTTCATTGTTTGGTTTAGAGTAATGCATAGTTTAAAATCTAATTTTGAAAAAATCTCCTACTTTTCAATACTTCGCACTTTATATGTTCTCGCTAAAGGTTCAGCTTTTAACTTTTTTTATGTTTTTACTAATTAATAAGCTGCAAGTATCCACATAAGGTCAGTCAATGACATCTTATAAAATTTATGATTTCCGAGTTGTTGGACCCAATTTTTTTTTGCTTTAATAATAGCATTTTAGCCTTTTAACGAAAATATAATGCGCCATGTTAAAAAATAGAGATTTTTTACAATTCGATTTTAAGGATTGCAACATATTAAATTAAACATTCATAAAAATATTTCATTAATGCAATAGATGTCCAAAATGATAATAAAATATGGCTCAGTTATTAATGAAAAATTTACTAATATCTCATTTTCGATCGTGCAATATTTTTGTCACCCCCGGTATATTGATGAAAATTATCGAGAAACTCAAGAAACTTGGACAGTTGTTATCAATTGAATCACATATGCATTCTTTCATAATTACTTACAATTAATAAAATTTGCATTCGAGAAAACTGGGTTGTGATGATTTATTTCATCATGATTTAAATGATAAATTAAAATGTCTATCATAGAGCGTGTCATTACGGCTCGTTTTTAATTTTCGTAACCTAAATTATCATTTATTTTACTTAATCCACTGATAACGTTCATTGTCTTATGATTTTAATTAAGTTTAGGGAAAGTGAATTTCAAATTCTTGATAGTTAAATAAAATTTTCATTGAAAAATTTTTCGTTAAATTTACATTTAGTATTTATAAATATTAGAACTTTAAATGAATGTAAATGCTTACTCCTAGAACCATCACATAACAAATGTGATGGTTCATTTGGGGTAAAAAGAATGTGCAAACAAATATTAGGTAATGCTCCGGTCAAATTGACCCAGGTTGTTTGGCCTGTCTCGAATTTTTTCTCGAGTTAGGACTATCATTTTATAACAAGAGAATTCAAAAAGATCGTCGGATTAGGTCACGTTTTTGCTTTGGCGATATTCAAAATTTTATTAAATAATTCTGATTTTCCTAGCAGTCTTCCTATATATTTATTTGTGAATTTTTTGTTTCTTTACTTTTTTTTTTTATCATTTTATTATATTGTATCTAGAGATGGGAGTATTTTAATTGAGACAGAACAGCCTACTTCTTATAATAGATAAATACCTATTTATGTACTGTTGACATGCTTATCAAAAGATAGGGGTTTGTTATTAAAAACATAGTAAATCATATGATCCGTAATAGCACCTCCCATATACTAAAAAGGGGAAAATTTTTATTTTTGAATTTCACAAAGTGGACAAAGGGGATGAAAGAAGGAAGGAAGAGAAGGAGAACGATACAAAGTTGCATTAGGAAGAGAAGAAGGGGGAAGAGAAAGAGCAGAAAGGAATGAGGAAAACGGAAGAAGGTACAGGGAGAAAGTAAAAGAGAAGTAGAAAAGATTGAAGAAATCGAAGAAGTTGGAGAAGTAGATGAAGTGGGAAAAGTAGGAGACACAGGAGAAGTAGACGAGCAGGAGAAGTAGAAGTGAGAGATTAAAAAGAAGTCGGAAAAGCTAAGGAAGGAGAAGAGAGCGAAGGAGAGTAAGAAGAATAGAAAAAGCGGAAGAAATGGACAAGAAGCAGCAGTAGAAGAAGGAGAAAGAGAAGTAGGTACAGCTAGAGGACGGAATAAAAAAAGTTAAATAAATAATACGTCGTCTTGGCGCGACAACAACACTATTGACATCTTGTCGAGTTTTTCGAGTCATCGTCTAAAAATTCCTTAAATAAAAAAATATATTAAGATGCTATTTATTTTCTTTATTCTTTTAATCAAAAAATTTACAAAATACAATCCACACTAAAATTAAAAAATTCAATGAAAAATCTGTTACCAATTTCAGGCTTGTCAATCGTTTATAGGATAGTCAAAAAAAAAAAAGATTATACAACAAAACTAAGCAACATTTAGGTAAATTCAAGATATAATGGATTTATGAGTGTTTTGAATTAGTCTGCGATGCAGAAGCATATAGATTTTGATGGCTAAGTAATACAGAGAAAGCTCATTTTTTTTATATCACCAGACCGATTTAATTTACTAAAGGAAAAAAAAAAAATACAAAAATTATATATAAAAGAAACAAAAAAATTCTGGTCACGTTAGTGTTTAATTGAATTATACATGTTAACCTTTGCGATATAATTGATTTTTATATTACATAAATGGTCATCAGTCAGTTGTTATTTACCTGTTATTTGACAATAATATAATGGAAAAATAAAAGTAAATATTACGTTTACTCTACACCTGAAAGTATAAGTTAAAGAAATAACAATCCAATCCGCTTAAATAAAAATAATTTATTAAAAGATTAAAATCATAAATAAAAAATATTATGCATCCAATTCCATCATTTACTTGTTTTAAAATACGATTTGATTTTAATTGAAAAATTTACATACATAAATGACATAAGCATCCATTTAGATTTCCTTTCCTTTATCTCTTTACATAACTACTTTCAAACTTACTTCCTCAATAAAGAAATTTAATAGTAAAA